ATTAGAGTCCGCGCACTTAACCACTAGATCGAACCGGCTCTCAGAAGGGCTACGTGACATGCACAATACCATCGCCAGGGTCCTGTGCGGCTGGAGGCCTAGATCCAGCCGCCTAGATGGGATCCTCTCTTCGTTGCACTTCATAAAAACTGATAATCGATTAAAGTTTGGGACGGTGGAGGGGGAGGCGGGAAAAGGGAACAGTCCCCCCCTCAATGAAAATGATTCACTGATACTCGTTCCCCCCCCCCTTAGAATACAGAAGATCTGCAACCTGGAGGCCCTCGTGAACCTCGACGTGCTGGACCTGCATGGCAACCAGGTATTGCACAAAACGTTCTGTTGTCGGCGTTGCATTTTAGCTGTGTAGCGCCTGTCCGGTTTCCACGTGCGTTCTCTACACACAGCTGTCCTGCACTGTCCCTGTGTTTTCCGTGGGATTCGTTATGGATCTGGGATAAATAGGCTTAGTCCGGGCCCTGTTGATCTCTGAAACGTAGCATGTGAAGTTTCGCCAACGGGACGTCTAGGCCCGCATCCCGGTTCATCCAGGCCTTCCCCAGATGCTGCCTCCCGGCACTGGTATTCAGAGAGCTGCTGCCACTGACTCTGGAAGTTTGCCTTTCGTCACCGTGGCCAATGTTCCCTCTAAGCTGTGCAGTCTTGTGAGCAAAAATTCTGCTTTGTGAGCTACCGGCGTTAAAGTTGTGAGCGAGCGGTTTGGCTTCTGCATAAATCAGTTTGCTCTGGAGCCCTCCTTCATAAGAACATAAGAGATGCCAATGTTGGATCAGGCCAAAGGCCCATCCAGTCCAACACTCTGTATCACACAGTGGGCAGAAATACCAGGTGCCCTCAGGAGGTCCACCAGTGGGGCCAGGTAATTGAGAGCCCACCCCACTGTGGCCCCCCCCCCCCAAGCACCAAGAAGACAGAGCATCCCTTGCCCCAGAGCCCCTATCTATACCTTGTGGCTAATAGCCACTGATGGACCTCTGCTCCATATGCTTATCTGAGCTAAGACAAAAATGTGTGAGCTGGAGGCTAAAAAACTGTGAGCTAGCTCACACCAACTCAGCTTAGAGGGAACACTGACCGTGGCTAATAGCTGCTGATGAAGCTTAGAAGATCCTTCTTAAGCATTCATTGTGAAACGAAGCAAACTAGGCGCTCCGGAACTGCGGGAGCGGCTCTCTAGCTTAAGGCGTTTTGGTTTCCCAGCGAGCTGCCGTTATAATTACACAGTCGATCAGAGAAAAGATGTCATTCGGACCAGCCCTTTTCAGTGTGTTGTAAAGAATAGCCTTTTATTACGCACAAAGTATGTTGTAAGAACAGCTATTTATTATGTTCAAATCAAAAGGGGAGGTTGAGTCGTGGCGTCGTTACTCCGAAGAAGTTGTCCAAGATAACAGCCACATATAATCCGCTCTGGAAATGAGGCATGGGCGCGGCTGAGGTCCCCCCCCCCGATTTCCCCACGCCCCACCAACCAACATTTTTTGGCTATGCCCCTCTGTGCTCTCCAGAGCGACCGTTTTCTCCAGCGGAACTGATTGGCTGCTTGGAGATCTGTTGTGATCCTAGGAGATCTCCAGCCACCACCTGGAGGTTGGCCACCCTAGCAATTGGAGAGCCAGTTTGGTGTAGTGGTTAAGTGCGCGGACTCTAATCTGGGAAAACCGGGTTTGATTCCCCGCTCCTCCGCTTGCACCTGCTGGTGTTACCTTGGGTCAGTCACAAGTTCTCTCAGAGCTGTTCTCTCAAGGGCAGTTCTCGAAAGAGCTCTCTCAGCCCCACCTTACTTCACAGGGCGTCTGCTGTGGGGAGGGGAAGGGAAAGGAGATTTTGTAAGCCGCCCTGAGATTCCTTCGGGTAGTGAAGGGCGGGGTAGAAATCCAATGTGTTCTTCTTCAGAGGACAAGGTTCTGGTGTGCAAGTTCCATTCTTAGTGAAAGTGAGGGGGGGCAGCCTCCCTTTTTAAAATATTATATGTTAAAGCACTGGCTTTTTAAAAATTGATGTCCTAGATTGCCAGAATAGAAAATCTCAACCATTTAAGCAACCTCAGAGTGTTAAACCTGGCCCGAAACCACTTAATGTGCGTGGAAAACATCGACAGGCTGGAATCGCTGGCGGAACTGAATCTTCGATATAATCAGATCACCTCTGTGGTAAGTGATCGGATGGAATCTTGTTGACTCTTTGAAAAAGCTGCAAATATATGAACTGAGACTGCTTGCTGGGGGCGGGGGTTGGGGGGGCTTCAAAACAATTAGTTTGTCCTGTGGCTCTGCCTTGGTGTAGCAACGTTTAAGGCAAGGGTGTCAAACATTGTGGCCCGGGGGCCAGATCAGGCCCCCGGAGGGCTTCTGTCAGGCCCGCAGTGGAACTTGACTGTCTTCTGCTGCTTCTTCCAGTTCTGCTGCTGCTGCGTCATCGTAGGTTTGCAGCTTACAGGTACACACCTGAACAGCATACTCAAGACTGCAATGTTACACAGACATTTTGATGCAATAATTCAGAGCAAGAGGTGTCAGTTATCAGACACTGTTAAATAAGCAAAATACTGCAAGAGTGCTGATGCATGTTTTTAAAAAAAGTTAAAAAAAATCCCCTTTGTGTTTGTGTCCTTTATGAAATTTATATCTCTGCTACCTGGCGTTACATTTTATGACAGACATGGCCCGGCCCAAGAAGGTCTCACTTATGTCAGATCCGGCCATCATTACAAATGAGTTCGACACCCCTGGTTTAAGGTGTTTTTGACCGAGGCATAATTTTGGTTAAAGCCGAACTATACCGACTTAGATCCTAAGCCTTTCTTACATTTCTGAACTGCTGTCCTCTGGTGTGGAGGGAGTACAGGCCTTGCCTTGGATGTTATGTTTCGAAGTGCTATCATTGTACCCTGGGAAAAGTAGTCCTCTGAGTGAAGAATTTTTGAACGACAGTCTCCTTCCATATCTCCCTGTAATAGGGTTTCCATGTACTTACCGTGATCCGGCGGGGAAAACATGCTCCCCGGCCAGACCATTCCTCCTGGTAACACAGCATGCCGTCGCCAGGAAGTGACGCTGGGTGACGCTCTGGCAATGGGGCTGAAAACTCGATGGTACCATCGAGTTTCGAGCCCCATTGCCAGAGCGTC